GTTACTGTGACTCGAGCTATGAATTTCCGGTCAAACACACACACACCAACAGACACACGCTAGCCGCTTATATATAGGCTTAGTGCATGTCCTTTTGGCTCATGAGAGAATCCAACTTTACCTATAGGAGATATCCAAAACAAATACCTGATATTGGAAAGAGGGTGCAAGGCGATGGAAGAAACAACAGATTAAAAAAGTGATGACCTGTATGAGGTAGCAGAAAAAAAGAGATGCAGATTCCCCACGCCGAAAGCTCTCTACATATCCTCGTACTATCAAGCAGGATGGATTTTCAGACAATTTTGTAAACTCGACAGCTGCTCTCGAAGCGAAGCCCTAATATTCGTCCTAAGTCATGCAACAGAAAACTTATCCTTCTCTCCCCTTGTTTTGGTGTGTCGAATTGTAAAATGTCTTTCACTCTTTAAATTTGATATCTGTTCTCTCTAGCATATTGCAAACGGTTAGGAAATCAAACACCTTCCTTTTGTGTGAAAGAGAGTCGATCCCTAGCATTTTATTTCTGATGATTTGGGTTCTCTCTATAATTGAATGCAAGAGCTCGAGGTAAGATTTTCCGGGTAAAACTGTTCTGCTCAGATTCAATTTTCCAAAGTCGCTTTTAGAATGCTGAAAGAAGACTCGTCCCACACTCCAAAATGGGACGTACATTGGTTTTGTAGCCTTCGCGAAGGATACGGGTCTGAGTGAATCAAGCCTCCGTTCTGTCTCACTTGTAGTATGTAGATGCACATTGCTGCAAATGCTCAATGTGTTGTCAACAATGAACTCTAGTTCTCTGACTTCTTCGGCAATTTTGAGCTCCCTGCCGTTGATACGATATGATATGATACGTGAAATAATTCGAATTACGGCCGAGGTGAAACACGGAGGAACACGGAGGTTCTCTCATCCATTAAAGACACAACCCAAGCAGAGGTTGTGTGAACGCTTCCCTTCGGTCTGTAGTACGGACAGCTAGAGGAAAATCACAAATGTGACGTTCTCATGCACGGAAGCCAACCGATCAGAGCGCATGGGCGTTACAATGTAAGCTGCCCAAGCTGCACACTTTTTCTCTTATCAGACTGTTGTCTGGCGATCTCTCATCTGTAGCGCTCTCTCGCTCCTCTCCGCGCTTAGTCTCTCATTCCCTTAGCCCAGCCGATTGGGAAGGTGAGTGAGCCCTCAGCTTAAGCGTTTTTACTGAGTCTTCTCCTTTTTTCTTCACTGCCGGCTCACTTCGCACCAATACATTCGCATTCATGTACAAGAGCCACACCAATGTGATCCTGGGGCATGCCTTTAACACATTGCGCGACGTCAAATTTGTTATATCATTTATCTGTAAACAATTTTCTGTGATGATACTAATTCGTTTTGTGGGACCTCCACAATGAAGTGCAAACCCTTCCCCGGCAGCATTGAATAAATAAACAGGTAACATAGTCAAACCTAGATCTTCTGCCTTGAAATCGCTGTGGCACCGAGTGCGCACGGGTAGCGGCAACTGTGTTAAGGGAAGATTCCCAAAGTGTCAGACCATGCGCTAAACACCGTCGATATGCCTCTGATTTTTGTGATATCATCAAATGGAGATTGCCCTGTAAGATTTGAAGAATCATCAGCACAAGAGCTGACTGTTCTGGTCCTTCAGATAAATTTACTCCAACCACGGCATGCACAGCTGCCAAGAAAGGTTACAAACATCGAAGACATTAAAGGTGTGGCCATTTTGGTGTCCATTTTCTTCGCGTTGCATCCGAAAGTTCTATAAAAACTCATCCACTTTTGCATGAACCTCCTGAGAACCACTGTTCGAGATGGAGACACATTTCGATTTTTGCTGTTGTTTGTTAATTCAGGAAATTTAATTGTTGGCCACGACGACATTTCCTTATCGGCCTAACCTGAGAGAACGTGATAAGCAAAGAAATCTATAATATCGTACAGTGTCCACAACCCTAGCGTAACCAAAATAAAGTGTTCATTGAAAAGCCAATGCGGACCTTGAAGACACACGTGGCCACCAGCACATTATTCAAGGGAAACTAATCAAACAGACATACATACAATCATTTTTTGACTGGCCGCCTCTGCTGTTTAGATCTGCGTTGAAGTCATTGCGGAACGCATAGGGCCCTGTGTGTAGGAGGTGCATCACGAGGTTCCCCTGGTATCTTCCTCTCCATCATCCGACTGTTTTAAGTGATACTTGCGTAGCAGTCCAGTCGTCCTTCAGTAAGAACCCCTGAAATATACCCCCACTGCTTTGAAACAGTGAGAATAAGGTTCGGCAACCTTCGTTTATGTCATAAATTGAAACATTCTGTAAAAACAACTTATTGCACAGCTATTGTTTTGTAAAACCGGCGATCTTCCGCTGGTCGTGTCCAATATTTCTCTCCGCGTCCTGTTCAGACCCTGAATGCATAAATTCGGTCCCAAGGGAATAGAGGTTTTTTGAATAGGGCTATTTGTTACCGTAATTTTGCGCCACGCTCTGTATACATGAATGTCCAAGACAGACCATAAGCCGCTTCCATTTCGAACATAAGGGAAAAGGGAGCTGCTTGCTTCTTGAACCACTGATTTAGTAATTATTAATGTTAATTTAGCAATTATTTAATTAGTACTTTGTTAGGTTGTAAGAAAAGTTGCGGACAATTCCAATTCCATTGGCGTTGCGCCAATTCTAATTGAATTTTGGTAGAATGCTATACTTCGCAAACTATTGGGATGTCTCATAATTCCTGTCTCGAATTCGAAACTTTTGTTTATAAAAGATTGGTCTCTTTTAGGAAATAACTGATCAATAGTGCAACCACCGTCATCGTCCGTATGCGTGCATTTGCTAGGGAATGTTTGGAAGCTATCCGCCCAGAATGAGTGAAGCTGGGAGCTGAAGAATTTGGAGAGGTCGTTTTTGGCGTGATCGCAATCTGTAACTTTCTTTTCTGGCAGATGCTGATTCACGGTGCAGTGGAGGCGATAGTCCGATAGAGGGATGCCAGTGTTATATGCTGGATGAGGTATCGTGGCCCTGGCTATCTCCTTTAAAACATGGCGAGTTGGCATTGCAATGTGAAGTCGGGCGTTCTTTTGGGGGAACAAGATTCTGAGACGTTTCTGACGATTCCCTGGCAATACCGAAGCCAGCCTAGAGGGCCATTCCACGCTGACTTTTGCAATGCTTGTCTTCACATTGGAATGGTTCCCAAACCAGGCCATCCAGTGAATCCAACAAACCGAAAGTGATATTACCAGACGGAGTTCGGGCTTTGGTTGAGGTGGTGCCTCCTGGTTGCGAGGTAGCCATCAGACGTGCCGCATGTTGTTGTCGCAGTGTACTCTTGACTCATCTCCACTGTTGACCGATTAGGGAAGGCTTTGCTTATGCCGTCCCAGAATGGATTTTCCCCAGATGGTCAAGCGTGTTCCTCGTTGATGGTCGGCTGGACCATAAGGTTTCCATCATGACTTGATATTGCAGCAATCCTTTCCATACAGATGGCGTGTGCCAGTGCATCGGCTGCGCCCAGGTATCTGCTAGAATATCCTGGCAGCAATGTCCGGAGCCACCGCCAATTTATGGGACAAGGGGTCCTCATCATAAGTGACCGCAGGCCCAGTATGAGGTTGGCATTCACAGTTCGTTTCGTCTTTGCCCTTGCGATTGGACCACTAGCTCAGTACCCTATCAGTAGCAGAAACTGGGCTACACACAGCGCTAATCCTGTCACTGTTCTCCTTGCGATAGGGTTTATTTGAGGATCGCAGAGCAAAATCATTCATTATTTCTAGTTGATTTCATTTCTAATGATTAACCCGTTACGGGCTCGCGTTTTCGAAACCATGCTGTTAAGACTCTTGAAGCATATTTCAACATATTACCGCATTTCGCAGTACAACGGTCTTAGACGGAAGAAATTTAAAATTGAACAGGAATGAGACAGGAATTATGAGACAACCCAATACTAGTAGTTTGTCACTATACCACTGCCGCCCCAATTACTCATACAATGTTTGAAGAAGTGAAGTGTCACGCGCAATTTTTCGTCCCTCAGTATACTCAAAGTTTCACCTTTCTGTTTGTTAGGAGAGATATGTAGTATCCAACGGCTCTCGAAATGACTGAAAACGTTTGACTTACCAGGAAAGTCTTTCAGGGCGTGACAAGCTTTTTGAAAACGGTCTTTTGCATG